GAACCCCAGCCGTCGGCGTGCCAGTCGAGCACGTTACCACTAGGCCAACGCGCTCATTGAAAAATATAAATTCATTAGTGGTATATATTCAATACATTAAATAATTTTTTCCATTGAAATTCCACAAGATGTGGTTTCCCCCTTTTATATGTGCTACAGTCGGCTAAATTTCAGTTAAACAAATGAAAAACAAAAAGCATTCATGCAGCAGAAAATTAAATTGACCCCGTCGACTTGATGGACACCCCAGCATTGCAATAAAAACTTGGTTAATAAAAAAAAACACCCCAGCATTGCGTGTTGCACCCTCCCTCTCTTGGGGTGCAGTACTACGATGCCGCTGGGGTCACTCAAACCCCCAAAACTGAGCCTCTACTTTAGTCAATCCTCTTTGGCCCTATCCAAACCGTTGATCGTTATAGGGCATTATTCAAATCAATTTAATTACAACAACTCGTGATATATTATGTAAATAACCAGTTTAATGTTTGATAATTTTATAAAATTGTTCAGTAAATGGCTATAATACAAAAGTCTTGAAACTCGGTTAATGATTTAGAATCATAAATGAGTAGTCTAACGTTATGGCCTATAATTAAATGAGATTGTATCACAATCGTCCCTCGTTCTTCTGGAACTGCCTGCAAGTGGTTATTCATTTCCGTATCTAAATTAAAACGCCAGTTGTCGAGTACTTACAGAACTACTATTACTCCTATCGATGATAAACATCAAGAAGTACGAGATGTATTCAGAAAAAAAAACTTTTTGCACCGGTAATATTTTTTTTTATCGTCTCGATGATAAAATGGGTATTTACAGCCTCGAATAATTCTTAATTACTCTCTAATTATTCTTAAATAATTAAGTAGACAAAGGCAGTCGACATCTCATGCAAATAATAATAATGGAAGAAAACTTATTAATTATTTACAATTTAATGGGCCCGATGTTTGACATCAATTCCCTCTCTAAAAATAAATAATCTGCATACTTTTTATGATTCTTTACACGCGTGAAGGAGTTCTGTTTCAGAAGATGTGTATTAGTAGTGGGAGATAATTTCTTGCAGTCTTTTTTTTTCATGTCGATGATATGCTATCGATTTTTGAAATACCACTTGACTAATCGAAATTTCCTTATTAGTTCACGAATTATCGAGAATATCCTCCACACGTGTTCCATCGAGTCAGACCTGCGTTTCACTTCCACTGTGATATTTTCTGTGCTTCCTGTACTTCTTATGACTCCTGTGAGGCATACCTCCACCACTGACCCCATGCTGATGCAGTAGATGATGCTGTGGAGGTGCTAAATGCCCCAAGTGATGAATCTGATGATTGGTGGAGCTGGAGGTGGGACTGTAGCAGTGCATGACAGGCACAGCATGAGGATGACATTTGTGTGGGGGTTGTTTCCAGGGTGGCATTCTCCTCCAGATGGTGAGAAGACTGGGCCACCAGATCCAGGCAGCAGCAGCTGCCCCTCCACTCAAGGAGACTATCACCTTGAGAACGAAATATTGAAGTTGCGGTCGAGAGGGCATCCTGGGGGTGCTGGAGGGCTCTGGGGCTCTCAGCCACGAATCCCTTCCCCACCACTCGTACAGAATTACACTCGTTGTACACATCATGACGAGTGCGTAGACACACGCGAAAATTCCAGCTCGAGTCAGCAATGATTTTTGCCGGCGATGCACTTCAGCTGGTGATTTTGCGTCTCTTTGTCTCATCAAGGGATTCGTGTGGACTGTCGAGGGTGGTGGTGGATTTACTGAGGGATGAGGAAGCAGGAGAGTAGCTATTCCTGAGAGAAGAAAAGTGGAGCCCACTAATAAATAGATCAGCTGAGGAGTGAGCACCAGCAGCAAGAGGGAACGAGAGTTTTGCTGGCCTACGAAGCAGCTTCCTGCAACAAAGTATTATTTTTTTTTTAATTCTTGGTCGGTTATTATTCTCGACGATTATTCCTACTGTTTTTCAAGCATATTCCAAGAATCTAAACCCTTCACTTTATTTTTTATATCGAAACATGTGCTTCTTCAGGAAAAAGAATGAAAAAAGGGTATTTTAAACCTCAACGTGTGCACTCTGCCCCTCCAGGATGCACTCGTCGTCCTCCCAGACCCCTCTACATTTTTTTCCCATGTAAAGCATGTCCACCCCATCGAGACCACCAACCGAGTCATATCCTTCTCTCGAAATATCAAATGAAACGACTTTTCTCTGTTGAAAGCAAACAAAATTCGAATAGCAGTTTATCGATTTATGCAAAGAACTATTGATTTCAACGTGATAAAAATTCTTAAATCGTTTGAAAAAAATTTGAATAATGAAATATGTAATGATGGAAAGAATTCGTTGATTAAGTTTATCTCGGGATTTTGGAAAAACCGTTGAGTTCCCCAGGTGACAAAACGCCGGTCGGAATGCTCTGATGAACTCGTTAATTCTCAAGCCGCCGGCGTTGAATCCCCAGGTGAAAAAGAAAAAGGAATTCGTACGATAAAAATATCCAAGGGGGACAAGCATCGGACGCGTGGCTGTCTCGCCTGATTAGACGGTAGCCAAGTGTTTGTTGAGGGAAAAGAGTGCGAGAATTTCGCAATCCGGTTTCCGGGGCGCGGTATGTGCAGTTTTTTCTTTTTAAATTCTTTTATCGTCGCGCATTCCACGGGGGGAGGATAAAAATTCCCCCATCCTGACCTGCGACAAAGTGGAGACAATCATCTCACCGAGTAAAATTGTGAAAAAAATCAAGTGCAGATGATATATTTTTTGTTTTCACCGAGGATAATGAAAAATGGTGGAATAAATTGGCATCGGCTTTATCTTGAGGATCTCGACCACGAGTGGATGCTGTTCTCAGGCCACAGCCGAACATGTGTATGTTCTTGGATATCTCGGAGTCATCTAAATTGCTCCCTGGATTTAGTTTTATTCAGATGGCCCCTCGGGACAATGAGACTCGCTCAATGTTTCCTACCAGGAGAACAACATTCAATGCAAATTTTCGAGGGGAACACCACCGACTTGTCACTGGCCTTCTTTGGGTGCATCGTGCCTGTTATTTCAAGAAATATCTCCAGAGCAACATGTGCACTAGTCTAAAATGCCCAGATGGCGATTTATCTATGGCAGTGAGCGAGGAATAAATTCCAAACTCTCAATTCCCCTGGAAAGCTTGCAAAACACAGAAGGTGCAAAAATAGTCGGATAATCCGTGAGTAATTAAAGCTGATACCCTTCCTGGAATAATATCAGCCAGTAGCTCGTAAACACGGGGATCACTTCACCCTATACTTGCTACCGGATGGCTTTATCTTATCTGTACGTCCGGTGACATATGAGGTCAATCGTTGATATTGAGGATTGACACTCTCCAGAGATATCACCACGAGTACTTGAAATGTAAACTCTCATTACCTGTCAGTTCATCAGCATCAACGTCTCGCGTTACGAGGACAGCGATTGTGTGAGCAGCTGGGAAGCCCCAGGCAACAACAGCTCCCACGGTTGAGAAGCCCTGTTGAAGACCAAAACCCTCTTCCTTCAGGGCAGCACTAGCTGAAGAACGAATCCATCTTCGAGCTGCAATGCACCACCAGGTGCACAGTACCACCCACCTAAAACCAAAAATATCATAATAATTATATGAAAAATTGATTACTCATTATACAATTCCTACAACCGTTAGAATAATTACGGATGAATGAATGTGTGAGGTGATTGTGAGAATGGTGGAGTAGAATTAGTGTTGGTAGTGGCTGATGTGGAAGCACGCGCCTCTCGGGCAACACCTCGTCCTGAATAAAACGAGACATCCTCGTTTATTCAACGGATCCTCTCGAGGATGAGAGAGCAAGCATTACCCGAGGGCCCCAGAACAAAGAGGAGTTGAGAGGCCTCGGGCTACAACCCATGCCAACAAACCCAACAGATCTAACCAGTTCCCTCAGCCCAACAGGTTGCCCCTCTCTCTCAATCCCTTCTCGACTAATTAATCACGCAGGTCAAACGAGGAGCAAACACGCCTCGAAGTCGAGAAATCATTTCCACTTCCCTCCCAACTTAAATTACAGTCTCCATTTCTTTTTTTTTTTTCTCCCCTCTCAACCAAAAGAAAGAGTTCCCCGGAAATTTATTCTCGTTCAATCCACTATTTATTTGTTTACTCGAATGATCGTGAGCGTGATTAACAAGTTCCTCGAAAACTGGTTTTAGCGTTTTTCTGGCCTCTTCTGAGATTTGGACTCGACACCCAGACAAAAAACCACCAATGGTGAATGATTAAACGATGTGCTGGGGCTTGCAGCGATTTGTTAAGTTTCTTTGGAACTCGTGAGTGATATCCACTTGACTTTCTCAATGAATACATTTTCCTTCTTGCTACTGTTTTTTTAATTAATTCCACGAAAAATGGTGGAAGTTAAATTTCATCGCGACACGATAGGACCATGGAGCAAACAAGCTGATGATTACGGCAAATAATTACCATGGGGATTTATTCCTCACCTCTTCGTACATACAAGCTTGTGTAAGCGTGCAATCAAGGTATATACTGGTTCTCCATGTACTTGCCAGCAATGTACCGTCTCCATCTCCGGGCTGCGTGCACTTCTCGTTATTCGACCTCTTGTTTATTATATCAGACACGCACATACCCATCACGGCTATAACGTGCCAATTATTCTTTAATGTAATTATAAATTGCTGGTTTGTAACGAGCTCGTTGACGAGACGTGGATGTGCAATAATTTTTTGAGGTAACGAACAAGTGCTTTCTGCTATCAGCTCTCAATTTTCCTTATTACCAACATTTTTGACTGATCTAATTGAATTTCGATATCTCCTTGAGATAACGAGCTGTTAAAAATTAATCACGAGTAGATCCTCGTGAGGGAATTGAGAGGGGAAGAAAAAAAGAGACTGCGATAATGACATGAGAAACTGTCAAGATGAAATTCCAGTAGGCGTGAAGGAGCATGTGCCCCTGGTAACCACGCACTCCCGAGTTTACACGGTGTCTTGGAAGTTTGAAAGATAGAAGTTCTGTGGATGTTTGCTCAGCCAATCGGTAGTTTGGCTTTGGTTTTTGTTCTCGAGTGCCTCTGAACATTCTGGGAGGTCCACTATAAGCGGATTCGCCCTACTTATTCCAACGAAACGAATTATCCAGTGATGCAGAATAATTTCATTCTTCCCACTGTACAGCACATTGTGCTAATCTTTCTCACGTCATCCTATTTTAATCTGTTTACCACATCACCAGCTGTTTCACTGAATAAACAAATCAGTGATGAATTGCTTTAAGGAATTTTTCACTGAAATTTTCGCTATTGATCCAACCAACTATCAAGATTATTTAAAATTTGTGATTAATCAGGGGAATATTGAACGTGAAAATGGTATGTTTGAGGCCCGTAATGGGCCTGACGGACCTCTCCATCGTTTTGAGGATGCAGGGAGAGAGGAATCTTCCCTCCGGGGTATATAATCAACGAGATGAGATGAGAAGGGTACCTAGTCGACTTTATTTGTTTGTTTTGTTAGTTAGCGAGTCGTCACGCTTTCAACTTCTCGATTATCCTCCCATATTTTCTATCCCAAGTTGTCGTATTTATAAATAATCGCTGGAGATGCTAAGGCATTAATTCTCCTAGGAATTGCTTGGAAAACAGGTGCACATTGACAGTTGCTGGTGGATATCTCGTGTCATTCGTCATTTCGATGTTGATGGACCAGAAATTTCAGGGGGGGGTCAAGCCATCTGGACTTCCTCGAGATCATGAATCCCTCATTTCCGTTGAGTTTTTTCTCCACCCACTGACATTTGTTATTTACGAATGAATGACAATATCATGGATAATTGATTATTTGTGATGCAATTTTTTTTATGGATCCAGTCGGAAATTTTTGAATATGAAATGTAAATTTTCAAATGCTGAGAAATTTCAGGTGAAAAGAAAAAAAATAATTCAAAGTACTTGAAGTATCCTTAACAAGAATCCTCGAATGGTAATTGGTAGTCAGCCCCTGGGAGTTAAAAAATTGAAAAATTGTCTTGCATGCCCTCTCGGAGATGATGGATCGGTTATTCTCTCTTTCTCCATTCTCCACTCCATCCACAATTCCTCTTATTTCTCCCCTTCTATTTTCTTTATTTACTTTTTTTTCCACCGCTTCTCCACGAGAAACCCGATGCTGGCGAATAAGAAAAGAAAGGGAAACGTAAAACTGGCTGACTACTTACCAACAGAAAACGAGCGAGGGGCCCAGGGGCCCAGGGGCCCAGGGGCCCAGGGGCCAGACTCTTATTCTCTCGCACTGTTATTCCATTGGCGTAGAGTCGAGTTTGTCGAGTAACAATCCAGATAAAAAGCCACGAAGAGGGGTATTAAAAGACTCCAGAGATTCTTCATGGTTGTATTATTTTTTCCCCTCATTCTTTCTCATATTTTATCGCCAATTCCAGCGATTAAATTATTAACATCATTGGATCGCCCGATTTTCGTCTTATTTTTCATCTCAGCTTGTCAGATGATTGCTGACTGTCTTAGATTTGCCAAACAAGGTATGTCTCAGTCCCATGACGAACAACTTTCTCAACACGTCCATAAACGTATACACTTCGATGTTTAGCCTACTTTTTGCTCAAACACCATGAGAAATCCCAACAAATTATCGAATGTAATAGCTAATATTCACCGTACCCAACACTATATTCTGCATCAATGAGAATAATAAAAACGCCATGGAATAAAATATATAATGCGAATTGAAGTAATTTTTTAATTTGACAAGTCCCCGATTGTACGCCAATGGCGAGGGTCCGATGTTTCGCCTGTGGATTTGGTCCCTGAAAAGCAAAAGCCGAGGAAGAAGGCGAAATAAAGAAGAGAGACGGGATAAAACGCATATACAGCCTAGTGCACTGCCATAATTTACATCGAAGGAGCCGATAAACATCGCGCCCCGCGGACATGGAGCCACGAAGCCGGGACTCCTCGACGAGGCCCTTTAGCACTCCCCTGCATTGTCCTCTTCCCTCAGCATCATCGCTTCCCCCTTTGTTCCCTTTTTACTCTCATTTTGCCCTTGTTCCGTCCTCACCAAACTACCTCGTGATCTCGTTTCAGTCTTTTTCATACTTGCTCCCGAATTTTCAAAGCCCCATCCTCTGCTCTACAATTTCGTCCTCTTAATATTTTTATTTTTCAACTCTTTATTTTTGGATCGTATGGCTCACAGCGATGGCTATAGAGCCCCTATTTTCAACGCCTCTTTCATTAAACTGGCAATGAGTTCTGATGAAAATAATCTTTATCATCACTTCATGAGTCGTGTGAAGAGAAAATTTAATTTTCCGATTTTTGGGGAACTTTTTGATGAATGCATCAGCGATAAACTGAAAAAAAAATCCCTCGACAGAGAAAACGAAGCGCTGTATATTTTTACGAGCATACCGCAGATTGTTCGGATGGATACGAGGGAGGAAGAGCCTGTGAAAATCATCTTGCAAAAGTGGTGCTGGAGAATTCCATCCGTGTTCTCTGGTATCAATGCCCAGATCATACGACCCAGGGTACCCCCTCGTTACATACTGGCCTTGTGGGCTCTTGCACGTGTACCCGCGCCTCTGGATAATCAAGTAAAGCTTGTTTTACGACTGAGATTATCTCGCCAACTCCAACGAATATTCTCGCGCATTTCCCCGGAAAATTATCACCTCGTTGTGCGAGGGTGGTGTACACCCAAATTACCAAACAAACGTTCCAATGGTTTCAACTAATTATTAGGATTTACGATACTAGCCAATGGATTATCGGGAATTTTGGCCCATTCATTCATCACGAGGAAATGGTGGGCGAAATGTTTGGAATTTGCAGTATTTTTTTTCATCAACGCAATCCAGTTATCCCCATCGACTCTGATCACCCGTTATAGGGGCCCTGGAGAGATGAGACTTATTTCAACGTGAAGGCAGGCGGGATGAGGGCTCGAAAGAGGAGATGGGAGTCAGAGGCTCGTTAGCGGCACGAGAGAGAGGTAGACCAGCACTGTTGCCAGATTGTTAAAGGTGATACCTCTCTCCTGGCTCTTCGTGGTCAATGCAACGCGGCCAAATACCGACCCAACAATGGATTGCCTATGCATAATCTATGGGCTCCATTGTTTTTGTCATCGAAACGAGGGAATTATTTTTACTATGCACGTTACGACTTACCACACACTGGCAGCATTTCCAAAATAGTACACCAGGAGGAAGACAATGGCACAGTAGGGATTGGCGAGGCCGTCCTGAGTGAGGTATTGTTGCTGTTGTTGAGCTATCACCACCTGATCCTGGGGATGGAGGGGAATAGCTGGGGTGCATGCCACTGTATATCTACCTGCTGCCAGTCGTATTACGTAGCCGATGGCAACTGCTGTGTGGCAGAGGGTCAGGAAAGCTATTGCATTTTCTATAATAATCAGAAGAGAATAGATAAATTATCTCGAAATAAAGGGTACGAGACAAATTTCAGATACTGATACTGACCACCGATTGTCAATGTAGTCCTCTGATTTCTCGGTCTTAGAAGCGCAAAAATTGCCACGGCAACGGATATTAGACAGATTGTGGTGAAGGCAGCCATCCAGACTTCGAACAACCGCTTTTCCCTCTGACTCCAGAGGATATCGGCGTCGCAGGCAGCTGCACACCTCCCTGAACGATTCAGGAAGACATATTTTCCTGAATTAGCGTACCAGGAACAGCCCCAGGGACCGTTGCCAGCTCCAATCGCCTGGAAATACCAAAAAAATGGAGGTCAATGGATCTGCGAGGGCCTCTGAGTTATTCTGGATTATCCTGGGGTCCTCTGGAGAGGATCACATTACCTGAATGGGATTGACAGGTCCCGGTTCACCCGGACCCTCCATACACATGTGCTGGTGATTGTTCTTGGGCGGAAATTTGGAGCAATTGAGAGCCGCCGGCCAGGGGAATCCGAACCCCTGGAGAACAGGATAACACCTTGCTCGCACTTGTTCGCACAGACCTCGACAAGGTCCAATGGGTGATGACACCTTCTCCGTGCACATCGGAGCATACACAGAGCACAGGAACAAGTGCAATTGTGCGCTGAACCAGAAAATCGTCGGATTTCATCGAACATTCACAAAATTAACGATTGCTCAATGCCGCGAAAAAAAGTGAGAGAAAAAGGGACTCACCTGCATCCATATTGAATAAGTGGACTGAATGTTTGAAGGGTGAAATCAGCATCCCCCTGGATCTCATGGCCCACAAGATTGGGCATAGTTGTGACATTGTACCCCAATCCCCTGCACATCTCAATCCTAATGGGTTCACAAGCCCCATGAGCACATGAAATAGTCCTCACCAGCATCAACAACAATAGCCACCACATGTTGGCAATCTCCAGCAACTTCTCCATCAAAACAATCGGCAATCACTCGACTAATCTCCCTCCCATGTTGTCTCTCCCCTCAGTAATCCACAAAAAACAACAAATTCAAAAACACGGAGAAACAAACGAGTTGCACAGCCATAGCTTCGGCGAAATCAGTGTGCGGCACCTTTCCCAGTTTTTTCCAAGTTTTTCCGTTCGATAGCGTGCATTGAATACAAATCAAGTGGATTTTCAACTTTCCGGGGTTTTACCAACTTGTACCACTAAAAACCACAGAGTTTACTCCACATATCACGATAAAATCGGATAATCCGTGCGATAACACGCCGATAACACCCAGAAATACATGACGCGGGAAAAAAAAAGACGTGATAATGAATAAAAATCGGTGAAGCGGAGGTACGCGCAGATCGAGCGCCTGAGAGCGACTGACCTTCTCCTGTTTCTCTGCACTCCCTCGTCTCGGTTATTCGCCACGAGAGGCAGGGGTGGAGGGAACGGGGATCATGGGCCTGACTCCCCCTCCCGGACCCTTCTCCTACCGCGGAGTCACGGTTGTTCGGGTGCTTACGCCTCTATAATACGCGAACATAAACTTTTGTGGTCCCGACTCTCGTCGATAGGTACTGAGTGAAAAGTTTATGGGTTTAGTTTGCATACCGATGTTGAAGAACATTAACCTGGGGTTCTAACCCTTCTCCGGAGTACCTCATCCTCATCCTCATCCTCCTTCATCGAGATTCGAAAAGATAAGTGATTTTTGAGGAAGAGCTAGAGGCTAGAGCTGCCGTAATTGGGGAGTTGTTTGAAAATCACGGCAAGTGCTATTTAATTAATGAATTAATTGATCGTAGCATTTAAGATGGAGAATGTATTTGCGTAACAAGATGAAGGTGTTTGATGTTGGCGGTAAGGTGTAGAGATACGTTTAATCCTGCAAACACCTCGGGGATAGGTCGGTGCGACGCGAATTGGATATGGCGGGAGTCATGAAGCCGGTGATTCTCCGTTTAGCAATCCTCAACGTCTCGTGCCGCAAATAGAATAATCGCTGGTCATGCATTTATGTACACACTTGATTTTCAGAGTACACACAGTGGAGTTGAGATTAATTGGCGTCCACGGAGGGCAGAAGGGAGAGTAAAAGAAAAGGCCTCTTTGGAGTTGTGTCGGTCGGTAGGTGCCCAAAGGGAGGCCAGGGGATTAAAGTATAACCCTATTGTTTACATAGCCGAAGTAATAATAAATTTTCGTTTGGGGGAGCTGAAAACGAGGAAGGGCAACCCGGAGATGGAGATAATAAATGCCCTGGGCCCCACCGACTAGCTGGATTCCTCGGTTCCCCTCTCGGATGCGCTCACTCGGTCGAACCCAGGGCCCAATTATACGGAGAAAATACAGCCCATAAAGTTGGGCCTAACCGCCGCCAAACACTGGGGATATGATAATGAGTATCCTTTCGTTTTGCAGTGCCATCCGACTCTGCCGACGTAACAAATGCCCATTTTCGAGGCAGGGGAGACATGCAAATTAATGCAAGTAGAGGAAGGACTTCCCTCTCAATATTTCCCAATATTTCCCAATATTTCTCAATATTTCACAACTCGTAAAACCTTCTCATGGCCTCCAGGACCTTCCCAGGGTCTTTTCATGACACCCCCACCGCCCATAACACCTCCACACTACACTCTTCTCTTTTTTTTCCTTTTATTAAAAATGACATCAGTATTTACTTTGAAATTTCTCCGCATAAGTCATTTTCTTATTCGGCTTTGATATTTGTTCTGAGCTTTTCTTGCGCACAAGTTCGTATTGGAGTTTATCGACAGTTCCGATGAAATCTTGAACGTCAGTGCTGCAGGCCAGTGCTCTATCCTTGAAGGACTGCATGCAGTTTATCACCTGGAATAAATATTCAGAATATTCCACTGATTATGAATAGTTTTAATAGCACAGGGATAAAGTGAGATGTGGAATAGTGAATTTTTGTTAATTTGTTTGCCGTCTCAGCCCACTTTATTGAAATTGATGGGCGCAGCTCTGGACGCGGTGACCTGCAGGTATTTTTGAATATTCTGGATGTAGTCATCGGCCTGTTCAATGGTCAGACTGAGACGGTCTGTGTGAGCATGATCCATGCAAGCCAGTCTTTCCCTCCAGTAATTATCGTAATTCGCGTTGCGCTCCTCATCGATCTTACCTGGAACGTAATTTTTAGTTGTCCCAGACGTTGAAATCAAGGGGCCGGATAATTGAAACGAAAATTGCCTGTTTGCAGCCGCTTGGCTAAATCCTCGCCAATCACGAGACCATCCAACTCGGGTTTCGGCGGCTCATTTCCTAACTTTCCGCTGCACGCTGCCTCGTCTTCGCTCATTTTCGGGCCTTTATCACATTTCATAATTTTGCCAGAGAAAGTGAAAAAAATCACAGGATTTTGGATCAGGGAAACATGGCGAGTAACATTTGACTGGCTCGATTTAATAATTTTTCTTTTTTTATTCGAATTCTTTTTTGACAAACGACTGTTGATTATGTATTTATTCCCCTCTTTTTACCCTCCCATAAATTCAAAGATTCATTTTAAAATAATTTTCTAGTGATTGAGGTCCCAATAATGTTCGCCGTAATCTCCATTCTTCGTACCCCATCGAACCTGATAATAATATGATTAATTAAAAATTCAGATAATCAGTGGAATAATCGATGGAATAGCTAGAGCATTACGGACTTTTCCTTGAAACTGATTATTTTCGACATCAGTCTTTTCGAATCTTTGCTCCCACTCGTTAGGATTCTCGAAGACGTGCCCGAAGTGGAACTCGAGGGGTGCAACGTGTTGCGAAATTATGTCCCTAGACGTTTAAAAATTAATTCACTTTTACTCTCCCATTGTACTACAACTTTCACTTACTGAAAGAATTGCCCTTTGTGCAAAATTTCCACGAGCTCGTCACGAGGCAGTTCTTCCGTAGCTTCACTCCGAAGATCTGTCATACCTACAAATATCAAATCCTCAATAAATCTCCTTTATTTATCCCACCAATCACTTTACCTCGTTGATTATCATTTATTTTTATGACTCTTCCACCTGAAACGTGCCCCGCAAAAATGCTAATCAACACGAAAACAAATAACATAATTTAATTAATAAAAAATAATTGTTGGATGGAGATTAACGAATTAATTGGACTCCCACGGAGGAACATTCGATACTGAATCGACAAGTCGTCGAGATAAAAATCAGATTGAAAGTATTTTTATCGTCACACTCCAGATTTCTCGAGAAAGTGCCACAAAAAAAAACACAATGACTCTTCAATTCCATCGTTTATTCAATAAAATACAGTAAATAACAATTCACACTCCTGCATGAGAAAAATAATGATTTGCAGATCGAGGAATAGAAAGCCACAATAATCTCCTGAGAATTAATTAATAAATAATGAAATAATCACAATGAACGTATGACTGTTAGGATAGAAATTCGATCTAATGTGCGTTCGATCATTTATCGAAGGTGTAACTATTTTTCGCGCATTTGGCCATCGATTGTATGAGCTTGACGAATCCAGTGTCTTTCGGCTTCTCCAGACCCCTCAGGACTCGATTTTTCATCACAGCGACGAATTCCCGGTTGCTGAGCTGTCCATCCACTGGAAAATAAAATTGAGGATTCAATAACTAAATGAATAAATGGTGAATCGTCCAGAAAAAAAAAATTATATTTCATCGTGAGCGTACTGTTCTCGTCAAAAATTGTGTAAACCACTTGGATAACGTGATCGCTCAATTCCACGTGGGCTACAGTCTTCGCCACGTGTTTCAGCGTCGACTGATCGATTGAGGCCCCAGCGATGTGATAGAACGTCAATGCAGTGTCCACATCGTTGATATTATTCAAAAAATGAAAGAACTTCATGTAGTCCTCCTTATTTATCCCCTTTCCATTCTTGAAGTTTTTTTTCACCCTCTTCAGCATCTTCGCCTTCTTCTTCTCCGGGTAGCCAGCATACGCCAGGAGCAGCTCCGTAAAATCCACTTCTGTGATATTTCCACCGGAGTCAGGATTGCGTCGTTCAAACTGAAAATATTTCAGAAAAATTGTAACAGGAATTATTTTTATTTTGAGATAGGATTTCACCTCTAGATTCAGTATTTCCTTCTGCAGCTGCTCCTGGAAATCCAAGAACTTCTCAATCGTCAGCTTCTGATTGTTGGCTGGTCCAAAAAAGTACGTCGTCAAGGCTGAATTGACTCCTTTGAAGGTGTTCCCTGTGTTGCTGTGGTCGCGGTGACGATTTCCAATGCTCGTTTGTTGACGAATCAGAGTCGCGACCTTTCCGAATTCGTCGGAGTCGACGTCCCCGTCTCCGTTGAAATCAAACATTCGAAAAGCTATTTCGAAGTGACGTCTGGAAGCTAGAGGACAAAATAATCTCCATGAAATCATCGTCAGCGTATTTCCGGGAATTTGAGGGAATTATGTACTTGATAAAACTGTGAGCAGGAAAATATAGTCGGAGAAAGTGATCAGGCCAGCACTCCCGAGCTTGTAGAAAATACTGTTCTCATTCAACTCTAGCTCAAGCTTCTCCTGGATCCCCTGAGAAGGAAAATAAAAATTCCCCTTGAGTTCCAGCGGAATACATAGAAAATAACAGGATTTTTGTACCTTTGGATTGAATCTTTTGTATTTATCCAGCCCCAGACCTGCGGAATCATTGTAATGGGCATCAACATATTTATGATTTATTTTCCTAGAATAAATAAATTAGTGAGGAAGAGCGGAAAGTCTAGGGCAATGAGCTAGACATTCTCCAATTAACCACAACTCTACCACAAAATTGATAATCTTGTAAATGAGACGAGTGAAATGATGATGAATGAATGCCATGACTATAGATACTGACATATTACCGTCGGGTTGTTTGACACCAGGTGTCAATGATCTCAAGAAATCATCCGGCGTCATAAAAACCTCGTGGGCATCGTGAATCACAACTTGGAGAGTCGCAAAATATCGAAACACTTTGTCCGGTGTTGAGTAATGTCTTATACGATTTTCGTATTCAATTATCTTTTTCACAGGAAGCAATATCCAGGTTTTAATAATGCATGCGAAAACAGAGTCAAGATTGGAAGTTAGTTAATGGCCAGATGGGGATCACGGTTGAATAAATTTAATAGAATAAAATTGAATTTCACAAAAGTCAAAAGCGCAAATGCTTTTTCATCCTAATTGCTTTATTCTCGTCGCAAATATCGAACCATTTAATTTTTTCATACGTGATGTTAATGTATTTTGTGATCATTTTGGTGATCGATCAAGCTCAAATGACCAATGAAGTCTCCAAACTCCCAATTGCGATGTTCGACATTCACCAGGAAGAAATCATCAATTGGAGATTGACAAATCGATATCCAAGCATACCGTATTCACTCATAACCACATTAGTCTCTCGTATCACACAAATTGACTCGAAATTCTCAAATGATGGATAACATTACCATCTGGTTGTTTCATGCCAGGGGTAATAGCTCTCAAAAAATCGTCAGGTGTCATGTAGACCTCTGTACCCTCCATGCTCGATATTTTGACTGTCGCGAAATAACGAAAGATTTTGTCGGGCGTTGAATACGCTCTCATCCTATTTTCGTACTCTATTATCTGCAAGAATGCTTGAATATCATCATCAATAACCTCGTCCAGAGTCTCAGCTATTTATTTATTTACAAAAATATGTAAGTGTGCTATTCCCAACAATAAATCATAGAAAGCACCTTGCGATCGCGAAATCCAACTTTCTGTTTTTTCTTCTTCTTCTCCTTTGCTTCGTTAGAGTTCTCCGAAACTGTTCCCTCCTCGTTTTCCTCTATCAGCATCTCTGCAGCATCAACTTTTGGAAAATAATAATTTTTCCACCTGAATCAATCAAATAAATGAATGATTCAATAAACCAGTGAGAAAAAAACAGGAGGAAATCGTGAAAAATTATATACAAACCCTCGCCAATTAAGCCAGGGTGCCATTATCCCAAAACACAAAAACGCTGACCACCAGACAAAATTTCTGGACACTTTGCGATTTTTTCCATGTCCAAAATTACGATACCCTCGTGTTTGAACAATTCCACTATTCTCACATTTTTTTGGTAATTGCGAAGAAATCGCTGTGACTCGAATTGCCCTGGAGTCCTGGAGAAGTCCTCGATTGAGGATTAAATATCTACTACGTGCCAGTAACATTTTTGCACCTAAGTAAATCTCACACGAATTATCAATTATTTACTCTAGATCTCTGAATACCATCACTAACAAATAAAACAATGAATGAAAGAAATTCCTGCCCTTCATTGATAAAATTCCACGAAATGTGTCACATTTATTAACAAATTCTGAGGAATTCTCAATTTCTCAAGATTTTCGTGGGACTCCTCCTGCCATCACCGCCTGGTGGCACCAGTGACGCATGTCATGACAATGACAGTTTTTGAAGCTGCAAATATTCAGATAAATTAAAATCTGACAGGAAATAATTATATAAAACGGTAGCGATATTCGTACATGTGTGTCTATTGAGTGTCTGCTCAAAAAGGGAAAAATATAAAATTATCAAAATCGAGATCAGCACCAGCACCACCTGGTAGTCCATCCCAAATCATACTCCGCAAATCCCAGTGAAGAATCCCCTCTACTTCACCTCTATCATTTTCAATACACGTACGTGGTGCAGGGTCGAGCCGTGTCCACTCTCCAACATTGTAGTGATGTGGAACTTGAAAAATAAAACATGATGGGACTGAAAATATTGCCGGAGCACTTGGTGTTAATTGTGATAGTGACGCTTTGCGAAATTCTACCATGTACCCCAGAAATTTCAAACAAACGTTTGTGCGCCGATCCAAAATGTTCCGGTAATTGAAGCCATAGTGTAGTAATTGAAGATCAACATATTTTCACTCAATTTATTTATTCTCTACTTTATTGCATTACAATGATACATATTCTGTCGAATTTATTACATTTGCCTAATCATTTGGCTTTGCGAATTTTTTTTTCTCTGACATTTTACACTCAATGACAGCCCGGGTCCCAATTCCAAATTCCAATTGATTTTTTTGCAGTTCCCATATCAGAGGCGAAAACAGTGTCGACGTATCATTCTCGGGACAAGGACATCCTGTCCTTCCCGGCACACACTGACGTAATAGTCTTCAGCAAAGACACTGGTAGTAGAAAGGATCTCTGGGGGGTTACCATCCACGGAAAGCGAGGATACATTCCGAAGGAGTTCCTCCTCGAGAAGAGGGTCTTTAAGAAGCTCGCCTTGCTCCAGGAAGTGCCCACCGAGAGGATTCCCCCAGAGAATGTTTCCAAGGATCACAAGATCGTGGACAAAGTCCCTCCGGGGTTCGTTGACAGCTCTATTAATTCTGGGAGCCCATCGGGAATATCTCCCCAGGTGGCACCCTCCTTCGAGGTCGTCGACGGCACCACAATCCCTTTTTCTAACGAGGAGCCTAAAGATGAAAGTTATGCCACGAAAATTCCACATACTCCAGTCACTGTCGACGAACAACCTATCCTCAGTGTTCATCCCAATGTTGTTTCTAGTGAAATTAATATTAAGGAAATTTTGGCCTCTGAAACTGGGAGTTTACCACTGACAGATAAAAAGAAAGAGAAAAATGATGAGGAGTTACCAGAAAAGGCTGATGATAAGGACATTACGATGAAAGAAGAGAGAGTTGTGAGTGAGTCTGAAGAAAATTCAGAAACTCCTCAATCTTCTGATGGAGAAGCTGGAGATGGAAATGTTCAGGATGAGGAAGTGGACCATGAGCTAGTGGCCACGAAATCTGCGTCTGCAGAAAATAAATCCACCCCAGAAGAAGGGGATGAGGGACCTGGAGATACCAATGAGAAGGGGAGTGAAGAGGAGCAGCCAAAAAAATATTCATTCAATGTTTTCCAGACTGTCACATCGATATTTGACAGTCTATCGACGACAGATGCAACAGTAGCCTCTGAAAATAGTGAGAAAGTTTCTTCAGAGGTAGAAAGTGGAAAAATAGAGGAAAAAAATTCTTCTGAGACGTCAACCCCCGAGGAAGTCGCTGAGACGACTCCTGAAGCGCCTAGCGCTGATGGAAAACATTCTCCAGAGGCTGCACCCACTCTGGAAAACACTTCCGAGATCAGTCCTGAAACTGTTGTTGATGAAAAAAAATCATCAGAGGTTGTATCGACTCTGGAGAGCCCTCCAGAGACCCCTCCTAAACCTGCTGATGATGTGGTAAATTTATCAGAGGCTGTATCGACTCCAGAAAATACTCCAATAATCATTTCGAATCCTGTTGTTGATGGGAAAAATTTATCAGAGGTTGCATTGAATCCAGGAACATCTACAGAAGTGATTCCTACAACGGAAAAGACATTTGTTGATGAAAATGGAATTTCTAACACTGCATCAACCTCTTTCATAGCTCCAGAGAAAATTATTCCTGAAAATAATTCAGCTCCAGAAGCTATTCCTGAGAATGCCGATGTGGTGAACGAGACTTCCTCAACGAATGCTTTAGAATTCGATTATAAATCAACAGTCAATAACGAAAGAATTTCTGAACCTATCGAAGAAGCTCATATTGAAAATAACCATGGAATTGAAGATGATGGGCAGCCTGGCATCTATCAAAACGATGAGTTATCAGGTCCTAGCCGAAGTATCGATGGTAAAAACGCCTTGGACTTCAATGGGTTTCTCAACAGAAACTTGTTGAATGTTGAGAATAATCGGCAACAAAGAGAGGGTGAGTAATTATTATTCTGAATGTTTCTAGCTGACCTAATATATCTTGCGCTTCACGTTTTAGCTCCAATAAAACTGGAAGACATATCCCCTCCGCCGATCCCAGAGCCGCTTCCTCAGGATCTTCCAGAGGAAAAATCCTCGGAGCCTCTGGAATCAATTCTTGATTTTCCAGCTGAAGAGATTCCCCGAACATTGGAGACCACTGAAGTGCCTGAGCCTTTTGTTCCAAGCTCATCTCAGGGTCCTGAGGATACCCTCCACCAGCCTCCCACTCTCGAGGGATCAGCTCCAACAATCGTGGATTCCGTATTCCTCTCAGGAGTGTGTGAGACCGATGGAACTTGTTCCGATCCCCATTCGCAAGAGGAGCCTTCACCAGAATTCCAGAGTGGAGAGTTTTTCGACAGTTCCATGGGCAGTGCCATCGAGTTTGGGAGGAATTACTGGGAGGCACTCTCCTATGCAGCCCTCACTGCCTTGACAACTCTGCTGTTCTCCCTGGGATACTATTACATCGAAAACAGAAGGAGAGATGGACAGTTCATTGCAAAGATCAACAGATTAGAAAAGGAGCTCTTGGTGGCCACGAAGGAGTGCAGTACTTTGGATGAAACACTAAAGTCAACCAAAAATAAGGTATTCTTTTCCAATTCCCATTAAATTTCCAATTCATTCAAGTTTTAATTAATTTTTCAGTTGACTTCGATTGAAGATGAGTCTTTTGGATCGAATGAAATGGTTCTGTCCTTAAAAATAGAATTGGATAATGCTCACGTAAGTCTTGTTGTTGATTTTTTATAATTTAAAGAGTTTTTAATGTGTTATAAAATATTGAAATCAATAGAAAGCCAAATCAGAGCTGGAGGATCAGGTGTCCGCCCTGGAGAAGGACCTCGAGGGTGCAACGGAGGCTGGATTGGAGTTGGAAAGAATGTTGCGTGAAATTTTGGCGACCAACAGTGCAGAAAATCCCCTCGCTAAGTCTGTGGAAGACTTACAAGCACGTTTGAATGCACAACAGGCTGCCAACGAGTCGTTGACCAGTGCTCTACATTTGAAGACTCAAGAGGTGAGTCAATTTCCAATATCACATCCCTCGATATGAATCCCCCAATTCATTTATTTATTCACAAAATATTTTTAACGTTTTATTTTTCACCTCCTCTTTGAATATCGCAGCATGATTTCGATAAATTAGAGGTTCGTGTCAATTATCTGATCATGAATAATTTGATAATAACGATTGGATTTTTATTGCAGGGTGAGACGTCAATGAGAGATTTAGCACTGACTACTCAGAAATGTGACCAGCTCGAGGTGGAAGTGGTTCGAATCACTGGAGAATTGAAGGAGGAGAGGGAGCTAAGAAATAATGTGGAGGAAATGCTGTCAGGGAAGGTCAATGGCCTGGAGAAACAGCTGGCGGATGTAAATCTTGAGAGGATAAATCTCCACAAGCAATTGAAGAGTAAAACGATGGAGTTGGAGGACCTCCGGGAGGTGGTGAACCAATCGAATACCCAAAACATTGACTTGGAGAAATTGGCTGACGCCTCTCACGTGAAGGCAGAGGTAATTCAGCTTCAGGAGGAGCGAGACGACTTAACGATGAAATTGCACGAGTTAGAAGGGGCCCACCAACTCCTCGAGGGGCACATGAAAACCATCGAGGAGGAGGTGAAATCTCTCAGGGATGAGTGTAAGCGCGCCGAGGGCGGAAAACGAGAGGCTGAAACTCGCCTGGAGGTACTCTCGAAATTTTTCGAGGAGAAGGAAGCAGAGAGACTGAGGGAAGAGGCGGTCAGGCTCAAGCAGCAGGGCCAGGCTTCCTCCACTGCCGAGAGGTTACAAACTATGAATGAGGAAATGGCAAATGATAAAAAACGCATTGAGTCGCTCGAACGAGTGATTCTCGATCAGGAGAAGGACTACAAGAGTCAAATTACTAGTCTAGAAGCAAAGGCTCACGAGCAATGGGTGATGGCACGTCAGAACGAGCGTCGTCTGGAGGAATCCAAGCTCGAGTCCGCGCAGTTGAGGAATCGTCTGACACTCATCGAGAAAAATCTCACTGACACCGAGTCTGACGTCAAATTGCATCGTAAGTATTTTCATTATCACTATTTCATCTCAATTATCTAATCTATCGACAAATATTTTACGAAAAAAAAATCACTAGTTCCTATATTTCGGTAAATATGAACCAAAGATTGAACGAAAAAATTTTGTGAGTCTTACCTCAAGAACTTTTGACCCCGAATTTGAAAAACAGGAATGGAGCCGAATGGAGATCCAAGTGCGTCCCCTTTATTCCTAGGAGCTGAGGCATCGAGTTCTCCGATAATGTTCTCAGGCACTTCAGGCCCACCTCCGCCACCCCCTTCGTACCTGTATGGACCTCCGTTACCTTATCTACCTCCTCCACTGCCCCCGCCCCCTGGACTACCGCCTTATGACATCAGTCAACGTCCACCACCTCTCGGTGGTCGTCTCGCTTCACCACCCCCAATGCCTCCTCTGCCGCCTTCCAGTAGATACGATGGTCCAGGCTCCCTCTCCCCTCCGCCCCCATTATCCCCTTATGATCCGAGAAATTTCCCTGGACCCTTCGGAAACGAAAGAATTCCCCCGCCATTGCCACCATCCTGGGGTGATGAACCACTGCCACCAGCTCGAAACACTGGTTTTCACCCTTTCCACCGAGATCACCAACGAACACGTGACAAAGGTTTGTGGACGATGTCACCAGATGCATGAGATCAGCTTCCTGCAAGTCTAGGGGTCTAGATAATGACTTATGATATTGATTGCACTTTTTAAAATTAATTTACCATTTTTTTTTCGCCACCTCCTGGTGATGGATTCCTCTACTGCACTCATTTCTGTGTATTTTTTATTTCTGATGATTGTTATTGCATGCAAGGACGCAAACGATTCTCCAAAGTACGACAGTTTTGGAGTACCATGGAGGGAAATATAAATCATACAACTTCTAATTCATCCATTCACACGATAAATAACAATGACGATTAACAGGTCAATGATTAATTACTATGGCTTCATGCCAGGGCTAGATATATTTTTGTTAGTAATTGCTCGTCTCAATTTCATAGAAATCACGTAGAAACTGCTTCGCTCTCGTTTACTATTAATTATCTGCCGAAATCATGACATGATATTATTTAATTACAGGATCTTTACACTCATCTGGAGAATCGCTGGACAAATCCCATCACAGTGGGAAGGTCTAGGTCTTTGTTTATTTTACAATATCTTTGTTAAATTCACTGTCAACTGGGTAACAATTCCACTGTACAGTAATAGGAATAGAAACTCGAGGATGCAAAATGTTTGAGCAATTCCAATCGTTTGTCTGTAATTTATACTGTGGATTTTCGTTTTTTAATGTAAGGGCATCTGAAAGACTTGTGTCGTTCCAATCCTGTGAATGAGCAATTTTGTATAATAATCATGGAAAATCGAGCAAGTCGAAGATAATAAATGATTTGTTACTGTACGCAATATTGTTACATACAAATAAATTGTAATTTATTACCAAATTATAACTGGGAAAGGGTTGTAAAATCGTGTGAATTAATCATTCATATTCCTTCGAAAATTATATTTATAAATCAATAAGTGGATAACATATTTTACAGTAACCATTTTGAAGAGTAGATCGAGGAATGCTGTAAATGCTTTATACATTATTATTTAATATTTAAAATTTGACAAAACCTATAGAGCCAGAAATATGACAGAATTCCCTTGATACATTAAATGAGTTCACGCTACAAAGACAACGAAAAATATGAAGAAAAATATCAAAACAGCGAATATCTTGATCATGAGCCATCGATTATTGGTGACTGACTGAAAATACTTGAGGATCTCTGTGTGAGCAGCTTCCACGTTCAATTCTGCATCCTCAATATTAGTATCTATCCTCTCCACCATTTCCTCCTGCTCCTTCACCATGTGGGCTAATTGCTGGAATATTCCACCGAGCTCGACAATAGTGGATTCAATATTTTGCATTGTGTCTGCTCTGGATGCAACATAGGCCTCACTATCATCCCGAATAGTCTTCTGAATCATCATCTGCCTCGGCTCAGGATCAAAGTCTATACTGACAGTGTTGGAGTCCTGTTCCTGCATGAGAAGAGAACCTTGCTGTCCACTCATAACACTTGGAGGAAGTCTCGTGGAGACGTGGCCCTGGGTGAATTGCTCCCGCCTACTCTGCTCTTCCCTCATGTTCTCCGATCTCACTTCAAGAACACTCTTGAAGTGATTAGACATGTTAGCGAGTTTTGATTGCAACGCGACGACCACTGACGACGAGTGCGAGGAAATGTGATGACCCTGGGAGGAAGACTCCCTCTGTTTTCTCCCCAATTCCTGTAATTGAGCAATCTGCTTGTTCAGACTGTTCAGATCCATTTTAATAATGTTGGTCAATTCCTCAATTTCAATCTGCCTGTCATCGAAAATGGATTTCTTTTTTGCTAATATTGTGAGCTTCTCCAGCTTGGCGTAAGTGCTGGCGATGTTCTTCCCAATATTTTTGGCAATCATCATGAAATTTGAGTAGCTTTGGAGGCTCTTGGCCTGTCGGGGATTACGAACAGTAGCCACCCTGGCTGCTGTCCTCCCCTGCATCGTCCTGATGGCATTGGCAAATTCACCAGTTCGATCCCTGGACGTCATGACCACTGGATAAAAATCACTCGTATCTGTATCTATCCCACAAGTATTCTCATTATTGTAATAATACTGTCCTTGATTACTCGATGTTAATTCTTTAGAGGTTATGATACTAAAATCACTTTCTACCTCTGCACCACGTCTTCTGCGTGCGGGCATCGCATGCTTTCAATACCCAAACACTTGCACAGAACTTTTAATTATTGTTAATTAGATTTATCGTGGTTTTTTTAAAGACCGAGTGTCAGCCAGAACATATTGTTCTGTCAACGTAATCCACTTGGATCTTCTCTCCCACCAGTCGGTTATTTGCCCCTAGGATACGACAACACGACAAAATTTCCAGTTCCACCAATACCCAGTGAAAATATTACTGAATCAAATTTTTCTTTCTATTTGAATTTTCCTCGGATTTTCTTCAGCCACAATATTCTCAATAACTTATTATTTTATTTGAATAATTATATTATCAACTGAATTCGGATATTAACATTGTCAGGCGTTTGCAGTCTTTTAATTAATTCTGGGAGTTGACGAATTTTCTAAAAAAAAAAAAAACGAAATTCGATGATTTTAAATTCAAATTACACCAGTGGTCTTTCGATATTGACCGAAATGCTCGAGATATTGCTGGATTGTGTCCATCGGTTGATAGATTTCGTTCATGCGATTCTGAAACGATAAAAATTAATCATCACAATTTTCGATAATGAGCAATTACGAAATGAGAGAATATGAACCTGTAAATACTGTGGAGGTTGATTGGAGACAGTGGCACCGAGAAATCCTTGCAAAAATTCTCGCATAAGTTCCCAAGAGGCACTTGGCAAAACACAGGGTCTGTATTCCAGCTGAATTCACGATTAAAATAAATTAAATCAAATTAATTCACTTGACAATGAATAGCTTTGATATTGGAGAAAACCGTAAAACTTGTATTCAGATGGGACATTTGGGGCCCGCGTCGCAGGGGGAATATCCCACAAAAAAATGGACTAATTTTCTGAAGTACTCGACATTTATCCCTGGCACAAAGCCCCTCCCATAACTCCGGAGGAGCCCCCAAGAATAGTTAATGAAGTATTCATACCTCGACAAGCACTCCTTTGAAATTCTGACTCATGGTGACACTTCCAAGTTTAACGCAGAAATCGCCAATTTCAAATCTCGGCCCCTTGGATTCAATTTTCGTCTGCTTCTTGCTGGTGTAGATCGCCCCGATCTTGAGCATTAAAAGATCAAAGAGTCCATCAGCAATCAGGGGTACGACTTTAGTACCGGATTCCAAAATAGCGAATACCGATGCAGGCTGTTCAGAATTGTGGAGTACGTGAACAGTCCTCTGAACAGCTGAAATAAAAATAATAACTCTTCACCAACTGAAATAAAAACTGGAGATAATATTGCGGTAAGTTCACCGAGAATTTTGTAACATCTGATGGTCAAAGTCATATGAATTTCATTGGAAGGATTGAAATGCTAAAATGTGTTGTAGCACAAGCAAAGATAAACCATCGGGTTTACTCTCCGAGACTGGAAAGTTTGCAGTGGCTCCTGGGAAGTTGTTTTCCCCACCCTCTCCATCTATTTTCAACCCCGGCTATCCCCCGGGCTGTTTGTCGTGACAATATTTCCAAAGTTGAACGCAACGCGTCCCCCAATGAGAGCAATAAAAATATAAAAAACATTTTGTACCATCCCAAGTACATCTTATTCCCCCCGACTTGACTCTATTATTCTTGTCAACAATTGGTTGTTGGAAAATAAATTTCCACTGGAGTTGGAGAAATCGAAATTGATCGACGAAATAATAATTCAATATAATCCAGCAGTTGAATGCACTCGTTTCCTGGTGCAATTGAAATATTTTAGAATTTGCAGGGCTGAATAAGTATTGTTGGGAACAATGAAGAAAGGAAATATTACAGGGTGTGTGCGTGCATTATTGTCCTCGAGGGGAGGCGTTTTGTCGACAGCCTCCCGTTGGCGAAAGCCACTCGGTGCAATTATTGATGAACGACCGGGAACCTCTTCCTGCCCAGTACCAATGTCATTATCATCAATAATATTATTAACACCAATAGAATTCCATTCTAAATTCTCGATTAATCCAATACAAAAAAAACGTGACTTTCACCTATATATGGGGATGTAACATTCTTAATCTCTAAATAATTCCAATAACCACTCATTATTATACCATTAATAATCATAACAATCGCCTCGATAATTAAATGAATGAAGATGTCCGGTGAATGAAAAAAAAAACAAATTTTCCAGGAGTTAATATATTTTTGTTATTACCGTGAGAGTTTATTCACTCGGAAATTTTATGAAAAGTGGAGTAACCGTTGGGGGGTAGTTAGGAGCACTTCTCCGAGGTACAGCCGATTGGTGAAGGAGGAGGTGAAAGGGGAGGTGAAGGGGGAGGGTGGCAACGGGTGGAGGGGGGTTGGGTTGAAGGGGGATAAAAGGGGGGTAGGTGAAATGGGTGCAAGCGTAGTATTGCGCAGGGTGTTGCGCATTGCGAGTGTGGGGTACGCGGTGATAGTTTCGGGAGAAGTGATTTTCAGTCACCCGCGGTTCAGCGTGGGGTCCCGATGATATTTTCGCAAGACCCCCGACCTCATCCGCGAGAACCCAGCGATATCCTTTTTATTTTATTTATTATTATTTGTCCACTTGTCCACCGACTACATCCAACAAAGGACCAAATAAAAAATAGTGTCAAGAGAAAATAATGGAGGGAGTAATAAAAAATTAGAGCAATGAGGGAGGAGTGAAAAATCATGAGTCTCTCAATTTTGCTCAAGTTCGGACGGAACTTTACATCGGAACAATTTGCTCACTGAGATAATGATGAGAGAATGCTATTAGAGATTTGGGGAAGAGCAGCTGGTGCACGGATAAATCCTTTTATTTTTTCTGTCATGAGTTGTGGGAGTATAAATAAATGATTATTGGAAGCAGAGGGATCATCGCTTGGAGCATCGGGAGAGTATCAAAAGCCTTGGGGGCATCACGTCGCTAGATGCAAAAGCTCCCAGACGAAATAACTGTCATTCCGATGGTATTAAATTCCCCAAGACATCGGTGAGCTCGAGCTTTTATCTTTGACAAATTATCGGACTATTAGGGAGGAATAATTGGAGGGATTTGAAAATCTGGTGAATTTGAATTTGTGCCGCTGGGCAGTTGCAAGTCTTCGATTATATAAATTCAATAGGATCGCATTATCATCTTGTATTGGGAGCATTGCACACTGATAAATTATTATTTCATTAATTATTTTCGACAGTTATTTTTACAACTCCTGGATTTTTTATTTTTCAATTTCCATTCAATGGGGGTTTATTGTTATTATTATTGTTGCCCTCGGTGGATTGCCTGCAGCTAATTGAACCCACCATTGAATGCATTGACGGATTATCGTCAAGAGGCCTGGAGAATGACTACTGAAGTCTCGCTGGATATATTAATATTCACTATCTGTGGAGCCAATGGAATAGTCACTATGAGGATTAATCGCTGATAGCGGCGGTTGAAGATAACGAAATCGACAATAATTCGAGGTGAAGATTCGCCTGGGGAGTAGATGTATGACAATAATTCGATAAGACTGATGAGGAACTGATGGGGTTGAGGGAATCGATGGATTCGTCGATTGGAGAATGAAGCACTCCGGATTTTCGTGGATGACGGTTTTTCATCGCTGAAGGATGTCTGTACACCACAAATATTACGTGAGTTGTTTATCAACAATTTTTTTTTTTTTCACATAAAAAATATGAATTGCCACGGGTGAAAAAAAAATACTGTAGAATGGGCGCAATCCGAGAGATGGAAAAATTAATGGCGTTGTTGGCCCCTCGGTGAGAATAAAATGCGGACAACGCGGGGATAACACATCCCCGAAAATTAACGCAGTATTCTCCGGCCTGAGAGTACAATCCGAGGTGGTGGTGGGTGGTTGAAAAGGGGTGAGGGGTGATTGAGTTTTCGGACTGGACGGCACCGGTTATTGTTGGAAAACGAGCGAGACCGGGGCTACATGATAGATAAGCGACACCCTCACCCAAATACATCACCCCCAGCATCTCCAACACCATCACTTTCACAAACTCCCAAGCACTTACTTTACCTATCGACCCAATCTCTCTTCGACTGCTCTTCCCTCAACCTGCCCTACTATCACACACGTCGAATCCACCAAATGGTGAATATTAAATTAAATCCACATCCCACAAGATCCATTCAATCCATGGCGCACCCCCTGCCACCACAGACTGAATAATATTCATTTCACGAGGGAGAATTCCCTTATTGATATCACTAATTAATTACCTCTCAACGTATTCACTGGAATTAACTATTTTCAACCGAACGGATTCTCCCGAGATGAGTCCCAGGGGTTTTCATGATTTTTCCCCTCAACAATTTTTTTTTCTCCCAATTCCTCCGGGGAATTCTTGGCCGAGCAAATAAACCACGCGACGGACATTAAAACGGAAAAATGAGAAATAAAAAAATATGAATAAAAAAAGGACTGAGGAAAGAGAAGAATGGCAAGGGGATGAGAAAGGGGTAACTGGTGGCGAAGCCTGGGGTACTGGGCTCTATCCATTGCCAAAACCCGCGACCTAGATACTGATCGACCCAGTCGACATACTGTAGGGGCCTCATCCTATACGCTGTAGGCAGTTTATAGTTTAGAGAATTGGTGTAAGAATATGTGGTGAAAGAAAAAAAGAAAAGCATGTGAAGACATTGCTCGAGGCAGTGACCCTGAGAGATACCATCTCACCAAGATTACACAACCTGGAGATCATTGGAAATGGAACAAGCCACCACGACAAATAATCACTGACTCCTAAAAGGATTGCCGACATCGTAGGGGTTCACCCCTAATCGTCCAAATCTCCTAACATGATTTCTGATATTCACTGTTTGTCCAGCACTAGGGACAGCGCCAAGAGAGATTTTCAATATCTTCCCAGAAGTTGGAGTTGATAAATCCTGAGAACTGTTGGATTCCGTAGAATAAAAAGTACATTGAGGTAACTTTAAAATTAACTAATACTTTTATTCACGAAAATGTATATATGATTAACAACTAATGAAACTTGAGGTACTCTGATTCGAGCAATTTCGTCTGGATTGTACAGAGGTTCTGATCTATTCGTTAACCTTGCTAAACTAATTCTAACTTAAAATATAGAAGTTCCCTCATTTAAATGTAACTAAGGGCGGATTGGTGAGTGGAAGGGGAAAGAAAGGAAAAATGGCGAATATGTCCATATTTTGGACATCAAGGGTTTTAGAACGGCTAGGTTTGTGACGTCAATGGGGGAATTGGAGTTCATTGGGGAAAGGCCCAGGGTTTCATTTATCGAAGTGTTTAATGATTATTGGGGTAAGTCCCCTGATGAATGAGTCTTTCTTATACTGTATTTTGTTGGGGAACTACGTGAGAAATAAAGTAATTATTCTAAATTGTTGGGGAACTACCCGAGTAATAAGATGGTTTATCCTTTAGAAATAACTGAGAGTTGGGGTATACAACAGAACCTCACCGATGACTGATACCACTCCACCACCCTATCACCCTACCTTAAATCCACTTATCCTATTTTATCAATTGATGAACAATGGATTTTTAGTAGAAATGATGAGGAATTTATTTGAGGTGGTGAGTGAGTCTTCTGGTGATTCTGCACTTGGCTCTGGTTTTTCTGGTTCGCAGTCCAGTGGAGTCTCGGACCCGGAAAAGCGACTCCACAAAGGAGTGCCACCAACAGGATCGATCTCGTCGACGTGACCCTCCCTCTCTCCTTTTTTTTCACCCTCTCCAACTCCTCATCATTTTGACACTTGAACTTCATGGGATGTTACATTATAAAGAACAATAACGTAACAGTAACGATCACCAGTGGAATATTTGACTGAAAATTTTGATAATGGGAATGCATTGTTCCATCTCTTGGTGAATTGCCAGGTTGCTTGGTACACATTGGCCAAACTATCTCACTCTCTGGACCTTCCAGGACTTATTAATTACCCTTTGCCCATTTCGAATTGTGCGCGAGGTACTCCTTTGTTATGGATTCATACTCAAAGTCCGACATTTATCACTGTCTCCACAATATTTCACAGAGTTCCATAAACTTGAGACTATTACTCACTCAACGATCCATATATTTATTTTATTTACGAGACCTACGAAACCTATGCCAATTTTAAACTGAAATTCACTGCTATTTTTTAAATTCATACTTCTGCACACATTAATTTTTCAACGAATATATAGTCGGATAAATTATTTAACGGTGAGAGAATGCACAGCGGTTTCAGGAGTTATTCGGGGAAAAAAAAATAAAATGTATCTTTCCACTTGAAATAATTTCAAAATCGGAAAAAGTGGAGTCAGTGAATCATAAATCAGAGGCTTGGGGGACTGAATAAACAGTGAAGTGTTGGGAAAAAAAAATTTAACGGAAGAAAAACTTCATCGGCTATCCAAACTTTCTCTAATAATATAATAAAAATATTGTATTATTAATATCTGCGGATTTAGTTGCGAGATAAACGTGGGATAAACGCGAGATAAACGCGGGATAAACGCGGAATAGATGGAGATTGATCTCGACACATTTCTGTGAATTGGAGAGTAGAAGATACACATTGAGGGCCCAAATGACAGCTGACGCTTGCCCCATGAAATACAATTCCTGTCCCATTACCGAGGATTTAGGTGGTCCCAGCATCTTGACCCCATAACACTTGTCCCATTGAAAAGAAAAGCGAGAAGACAAAGAGAAGAAGTTTCTCTTGGTTTTGAAACTCGAAGGAAGAAAACTCGTTGCCATGAGTTTGAGCATAATATCTCGAAACATAAAGGAGAATTGGGAGTTTCGGGGAAACTTTCTGACAATTTCCACCCATAACTCGAGACCGACGAATTGTAGTCATCTCCAAGTGAACGGAAAGGTCTTTTTTCGCTCGATCAACCGCAATTCGACTGCATCGGATTCCGGGCAAATTTAGAGGAGAAGAAAAAAAAAAAAGAACGCTAATTGGTCTGTTGGAGTCTAAAGACGCTCATAAATATCGACGTAATTCCATAATTACATGGGCCCCGAGGGAGTTGAGCCCGAGGCAGAGGATTAGATCGCTTAATTCGTTCAAATTGCTCGCATTACCAAATATTGTTTTTCATCTTCCGAGGAATAAATACTGGAGCCACCCACAAGCAACTGGAGTCATCGAATTCCCCAAGAATTCCTCATTTTCTCCGTGAATATCCAGACGATGCAAACGGCACGGAACAGAGTCATCTACCCTGACGGGCCGTTATAGGACTTCAACGAAAATAGCCACTTTTTTTCCGTATGTTCAAGTGTGCAACATCACCTTTTACCGACGTCCCAAACTTATTCTCGTCTTCACACCCAACGGTTTATCGTACAATGAAAAAATCGACAATTGAAATTAAAAAAAAAAAACAAATCGGAGAATTTCCGATAAATTTGATTATTCGCAAGTCAAATATGGAGTTTAATTGATGGTGGAATTTAATAGCTGTGGCATTAAAGGGCCTCACCAAGATCAAATCAAACAAGATGCTGGTGTCCCTGAACAACTGGAGAACATCACGAAGGTAGAAATGCCTGTGGCGAGCACTTACGGAGATGACACGGGCAAAAGTTATGATTGAAAGTCGCGTTGAGAGTATTTCCTCATAAAAAAAAAAGAACCGAAACGACGAGGGCATCTTTTGACAGAGAAATTTTTATTCTCCGTCAAGTCAAGTACTCATAATTTCACAATAACACTGGAAAGATATTCATTAATGAAACAGTGTGAATGGTAGGGATAGAATAATTTATAGACGAGGGAGTTTGAGAAGTTCAAATAAAAATGCAATTAAAGGGTTTGAAAAAGTTGTCAAAGCACTTGGGTACTTTTAACCACTCTCTTCTTAAATCCCTTTATTTAATTCCTGGGTCCCTTTCTCCCAATGTCCACAGCCCATTGAGTGGCCAAAGCGTGGCATCCATCTGTATTAAGTCATGGTCCCACAAACGCACCCACACACCCCAGTGAATGTGTCTGAGTTGTTATCCACAATCCTCTCAAACGATTCAGAGTGGTGAACGAGTCCAGAGGCCTCAGTCAGTATCAGTCCGTTGACGCTCACCAAACCATCGGTATCCATCGGTATCCATCACATCCCTTTGCATTTCCAAACTCAACCCCAAAAAAAAAAAATCGGTGTCACTCCTGACACACGTTAAGACCAAATTCCAATGAGCAATCAGTCCGCATCCTCATCCCAGTGCAGTGCAAATTCAATTGCTCATTTCCATTAATTAATTGATTAATTTCCCTCGGGCTGGAGTGCAGAGTGATTTATGCCGGTTCTTTTTTTTTTGTGACAATAAAGCAGAATTGGGAGAATCGCCGTGAAATATTCTAGTCCCGGGGAAAAACCCAGGAATGCCGAGTTTTCACTGACCTTTTTCTCAAAATTCTTGGGAACAGACCGGGGATTTTTCGAGGCACACGTGCTTGTCATGCCGTCCTGGGGTGTCAAATTATCATCACCATTTTTTCACGAATGATATACACTGGTACGTACGCAAATTACCAATGAACAAAATAAATAATTTCTAATCGTACCCAAATAAACCTATAAATACTCATCTCAGTTTGTCGTAAAGATAAATTATGAAAAAGAGTCAGTTGCACTGAATTAATTAGTAGTGAGTGATTTTTATTTGAATTAATTAGGTGCATTGAGAATTGCGCAATGAAAAAATGGATAATTATGGAAATCGACTGGTTGAATTCCGTGCGTGGATTTAAATTCAAAGCCAGACCCTAATCCGACACATTACGATAAGATACGAATAGAAATTATTATAGTTCTCGTGTAAAAACGAGAGTTACCGGCTATATATAACGAGATAATCTATTTCGAATTTTCCCAGGGAATCTGTTTTTTCTTCGGGTCGGCCATATATCAGACATTCTAGAAACATTCAGATTATCCCCATCATACCCTGAGCTATAACATCCTGTAATTTATACCGTTAGTAGCATTTCTCCATCTATCGCGTACCACATTATGTTTCTAAAAACAAATCTCCTCAATTCCACATTTTTATAAATTTATTTTCACTCATTTTATCCAGTGGAAATGAATTCCAACTGATTTATCACGAGTTTTTAATCAGTTGTGTGGGAACTCAAGAGATAATAGCCTCCAGCATAATTGGGTTCACGAATTCAAGGGAAAAAGCGGGAAAATGGGTGTCGCAACGAGGGATGGGTTTGTCCGGTGAAAAAAAAAATTGTGCAAAATCATTGAAAAGTTCCAAGGCTCGTATGTATTTGTCTATAGTATATGGGACACGTGACATTTTGAGGCGAGTCCCTGGGTTCATTGTTCGTTATTCAGATGACAATGGAATCAGATGTTTTGTGGACGGTATAATGGCGCGCGTGGCCTACAGTTAATGAAAGGGTTTGCACCTTTTCACTGTAGAATGCCGTTGTGTATCTGAGGATCACTGATTTTCCCCTTAAACTATCGGTATATGTTATAAGAAAATTCTCTCGGAATTTCGTTTCCGCAGTGAGAAAAATTCGAGTGCTGGTGGTGGAAAAAAAGACAATTTCGTGAAAAATTCATGGAAAGTCAGAGAAAATTCCCAACTCACTGATAAAAATTCTAGTAGCAGTACTGGAATTTTGTACTTTGTGCCACGTTTCTAGAATTGATTTAGAATGCGTAGAAAAAAAAAAAAGAGATAAGAAATGTATAAAAAGTAGAAAAAGTCTGAATGTAGGAAGACCATTGAGAAGTCGATCAACTATTCAATATGAAAAGTTATGAGAGTCCGGGACTAGCTGATATCTCAATAAAAAAATCGACGGCGTAATCCCCAAAAGTTGGAATAATATCACAAGGAATTTCAATTAGACCCGTTCCCCCATTTACAGGCACCCACTTCACCTAGAATTGAGTTGTATTCGAAGCCTCGAAACTTGGAAAACATTCGCCAAAGTTGGTCCAATGCCACTGAAATCAATACGCAGATGATTTCTCAACTCGACAATAAGAACAATGAGATAGGTTCCATTGAGGATTTTTACCCCTCGATTAATCGTAGAATGCCCACTCGAGACTTATGTTTATGCGTCTGGTTCTCACACACGGATCATGTCAGAGGAGAGATGAAGTAGTTTGTCTGGTTTACATGGCGCAATCCACCGGTTTACGACACATGCACGCCTAGGATGCTGATTGATAAGTTGTTCTAGATGATACCCTGGCCCATGCTGTCGGTAAAAAAAAATTAAATCGATAGAGACGCGAAAAATTCTTTGAAAATCTAGACTTTAACGAGTGACTCTCGATTGCGCGATGCATTCTCCGAGAAAGGCGTGACAAATTGTTAACAATTGCATCTCCAAATGATTCCAACGATTCCAACGAATTGAAATCCGATGATTTCCGCAGTGTGTAGGTGGATCGAATGAGCCACCGATAGTATTTCAATAAACCGGTGCATTAACTCTGTTGTTTCCAAATGATAAACCGACGCCTTCCATTAATGAACACTCAGCGCAACAATGCCGTCAATTCATCTCGCGACACATCCGTCCTCACACAAGTTTCTAAAAACAAAACAGCAGTGCAAGTAAATAAAATACCGGGGATTCTCACGAGGTTGAATCAACACCATCTTTCACTCTGTCCCCAGTATCTGCTACAGCATTTGACCTCTTGAAATGCAATACAAAAATAAATCGAGAGAGGCTGTTCCTCAGCTGGTGGATGCACTTTTTAAATAATTTCCGCAGTGAAAGTCATTGCAGCCAATGACTATTAATAATCAATACCAATGACTTGCTCAATAGAAATGAATTTTTCGAAATAATGCCATCCAAATCGTTGTAATCACGGAAAAAACACGGACGAAGTAAAAAAAAAAAGGAAGTGCTAAGAACGTAATACAAAATAGCGCTTGGTTTCTCGTCTCGATCATTATCCACGTGGAAGCGTTTCCTCCTTGACTCAACGTTTCGCCATTTTCAACTTCCCCTCTGAAACGATCCCCCGAGTTTCCTGCATCCATCCAGTGATGACGACGGGGATGAGGATTACCTTTCTCCCCAACACTCTCAGCATCCGTTTTCACAAGATATTTTCGCTGAATCGATTCCGGACTTTCCATCGTCACCTTAATTTATTGTTCGCTCTGTTCCCTGTCCTCTCGCCACTCTAAAAATATTTCAAGCTTGCTATTTTTTTTTTATTCGATGACTGAAATAAACAATTGTTGAAAAATTTGATTGCTCCAGGTGACAACAGTGCCGGAGGAGGCCGAGAACGGATTCAGAATGCCACGAGCTTCAATGGTCCACATGACATCAACCGCAACTCGTCCACAACACCTGTCCCAGGTAATTAATAACTGACGACTAGATCCCTGGAATTCCATTATAATTTGTGATACCAAAGAAAGTGACCCAGTTACAATCAATTGATGAGAATTTCTCCCATCGAACTCAATCATATTCAAAGTTTGAGAGGTCGAGGCTCTCCTTCCCTCACTCTCTGGCTCCAGGCCATATAGAAATGCACACCGCGGCTCCTCTACTGAGTTAATTGAGTGGTATCTCAGTGTTGAAGAAGAGCGTTATATCCCCCATCTCCTCGAGACCACCAGGGCTTTCTTTCATTTTTTTTTCCCCTCCATTCTCTTCACCTTTTTTTCTATTCTTTTTACCATGAAACTCAACCAAATCTTGGGAGCCAGTGCATCTCCACTAGTCTCTCCCTCGCATTAACATAATCCTCCAGGCGAGTTCTTTAAAACATTGTTCATTCCTATATTTGAGTCCTATTATGCGTGAGGAATATTGGATCTGAGATTCAACTCCGATACTTCAATATCGTCATGGAAAAAAGTGACAACTTGTGCACGAGTAACGAAACTTTTGTCGCGCTATTGATATCACTGCGCTGATAATGATTTCAGGCTCAGAATGGCTCGGGGGTTTCAAATGGAAAATAATGTTGAAGAAGTTGGAATGAGGAGAGCGATAATCCCTCCTCTGGCTTCGGCAAAAATATTAAATCCAACGAATTAATTTCTCCGATAATCGAAGGGAATAATAATAAGTTAATTTAATAGCGATGAGAAATTCTATTTCGAGGGAATAATCATGAGAACTATTCCAGTCGGGCGAACAGTGATTGAACCAATAATCGTTGGAACAATCGTACGGGTTTCGTTTCAGTCGAATGTCGAGGTTGAATGGAGATTTCCATTCCCATCGAAACGTCAATTTTCCGTTGATAATCAAATCACAGGCTGGGGCGTTTTTCCAAATTGAAATATTCATCGCCAACATCCCAACCGCCACAAATTGAAAAAAAAAAAATCCAATTCCCAACAATTGAATGGAATGTCAAAAATCATAATACGAATACAATTTGTTCTGAATAGAGATAAAGCTCGACAAGTAAGCGAATAAAACGAGAATTTACGTTGCAATGGAAAGGAATAAAGTCAGATTAAAATCAGTTCTGTGCGTACGTGCGCAAGTTGATTTACTTTACGAGAAAATCGAGCCGTGAAATATAGTCCGCAATGCTGTATAAACCGAGTAACATCGATAGATATTGCCACACGTGCACTTGTGAATCCCTCACCAATACACATTTAAAATACCATATATAGGAACAATGGTATACAAAAGGTGAATTGGTGTAGGTATTTGTACATGGCGCCACATTGAATTGCTCCGCATACTTGTCGCATTTGGACAGAAGGATGTGGGTGTCTTGTCAGTATTGTGACCCACGCAATTCCTCCATTCTCACTCCACAAAATGCACTAGCTAATTCCATCCCAATTCAATGAAATTTCAATTTTTACTCTAGGTCCTAGCAACTCTTGCCCTATCGATGGGCACTTTATCCTGCGGCCTGGCCAAGGGCTACACATCCCCTGCACTAGACTCCATCCTGGACTCGCAGCCGCATCTGTATCAATCACCTCCGAACAATACGTGGTTAGATGATTTTTTCATTACATTTATCTGGGATTGAAATCGAGTGGGTCGCAGATACGAAATAAAACCAGAAGAATTTATCCCGTTCACTTGAAACGGCTACTCGAGACTGGCAAAAGCCAAAAAGACAAATTTCGATTTGAATCTCACAGGTGGGCGTTCTCAGTGACGAAGCAGGAAGTCTCCTGGGTGGCATCCCTCTCGATGCTGGGTGCCTGGTTCGGTGCAATGATTGGCGACTGGATAATGCGACGTGGACGTCGACTAGCCCTGAGACTTACATCATTGCCCTTAGCGGCTGTTTGGCTGTTAACCGGTATTGCACCGTGCGTTGAGCTTGTCTTCACAACGAGCTTCATCGGAGGCCTGTGCTGTGCAGTCATCACAATGGTAGCTCAGGTACCCCAATCACAAATCCCAATCAGCAAAAATAATAAAAAAAAAAAGACAAAGAAAAAAAATTCCCACAAACGAGCAGTGGAAAAAAAAAATATTCCCCCGACAAACCAAATGATAAATTACAGGTCTACATATCTGAGATCTCTGTCCCCGGAATCAGGGGCTGTTTATCAGCAATGCTCAAGGTCGTCGGTCACATTGGTGTACTGTCATCGTACATTGCCGGCTCATACCTCAATTGGCGACAGAGTGCACTGGTTGTTGCAGTGGCCCCGACGATGCTGTTCGTTGGCACTCTTTTTATACCTGAAACCCCCTCATATCTTGTGCTGAACGGGAGGGACGAGGAGGCTGCGGGCAGTCTCAAATGGCTACGTGGATCCCATGTCGATATAAAACAGGAATTACAAGTTATAAAGACAAATGTACTTGCATCACGCGCCAAACAATACGAATTGACATTTCGCAACAGCGTTTTAACACCGAGACTGTACAAACCCATCGCCATAACGTGTGGCCTCATGTTCTTCCAGAGATTCTCCGGTGCTAATGCATTCATATATTACGCTGTCATTGTTTTTAGACAGACACTGGGTGACATGAGCCCACACGGTGCCATGATAGCTGTTGGTTTCGTTCAGCTTCTAGCTTCATTGCTATCAGGTAATCACTTGCATTTACTCCCAGCGATTCACTGGTATCAGTGGATCCCAACTGATGTTAATTGCTGATTATTTGCAGGATTTCTCATTGACATCGTTGGACGTCTACCCCTGCTGATAGCCAGTACAGTGTTCATGTCCCTTGCACTAGCTGGTTTTGGCAGTTACGCATATTACAACTCAATGTCGCAAAATTTCACGTACAATGATCCAACGTTAATGGGAAAACACGATTGGATACCACTGCTGTGTGTACTCGTCTTCACAACAGCCCTTGCATTGGGCATATCGCCAATTTCATGGCTATTGATTGGTGAGCTATTTCCCCTCGAGTATCGTGGCCTTGGCTCCAGCATCAGCACCAGTTTCAGTTACTTCTGTGCTTTTTTTGGGATTAAACTCTTCATGGATTTCCAGCAGGTAATCATTCACACCGATCCCCAGAGGATTATTCCACCATCGTTCATCCTTACCACATCTCATCCACAACTCATCCCCAAGACAAATCAATAAATTTCGATGAATCATCCATCATTATTAAATGAATTAATTTTTTTTCAATGCCAATTGACAACAGCTTCTCGGACTCCACGGTGCATTCTGGTTTTACGCAGCAGTTGCTGTATGCGGTTTATGCTTCGTTGTTTGCTGTGTACCAGAAACAAAAGGCAAACAACTGGACGAAATGAATCCGGACTATGCACAAGCACGGTAGTACAAGGCCTCCCTCACTGGAGGGCTTTCAAATTTAGAAAAATCCAACAAGCCATTACCAAGTGGAGCATATCCAAACGAGCACGATCCACGTAATCTGTACGACGTTGACACCAGTCGAATATATAATCGTACTCGTACACTCCACGATCACTTGGCCAGTGTCTTTCAATCAAAACAGACTAATCGCAAACCACTAGCCGATTACTGCAGAATAATGATGAAAAAAACTAGTCGCATAAGCAATCACATCGGTGAATTCATCCAGTCCCACAGTTTTCTACAAAATACCAATGATCGTCGAGCTAATGACAGAGGAAATGTGGGGAATGCTCTGACTCAGGACAATCACCATGAGTTTGTCTGTTCGAGTGAATTTCAATTGGAGGATCACTTCAGCTCTGTAAATTACCTAAAGTCTGACATGAGCGAGGAAATGCATGAGTACCAGGAGCAGGACCAGGAGAATTGGTCGAGCGAGGCGACACTTTCATATCATCGAAGTATGCATATCGATAAATACGAGGGTAGCTCGAATTATCGGATTGGATCCGGTGAAACTAGACTGGTGAGATGTGATGCTGAGCGACGAAGGAAACGACGACGCTCGGCAACAGTACGAAACAGCCACTATCATCCTTTGAATATTGATCAAAGGCTACACTCGAGCTTATCACAAAGTAGAATTAAGGATTACTATTCGAACCTGGATGGGTCACCAGGTAGAAAGTATCCAAGGAGCCTTGAGGATCTCACAGATTTGGAAATGGAGAGAATATTGGAGAGAGATACAACATTTCATATCCCTATTAGAGCCCTGAGATCACAGGAATCCATGGTGGAGAGGTACAGAAAACGGTACGAGGAGAGTGCAGACGAGAGGGATAAAAATTATTGGAGGCTGTATCAGAGTTTATCTAGATTAGACAAGATGATGCCGAGGGAGAAGTATCCACCTGGCAAAGTCCATTATGAGAGAGAATATAAGATATATGGAAGAGATACTGTTGCACTTATTTATTACAAAACGTGCTACTTGTGATGCTTTAATCGAATCTTGACTATTTTCATGGTGGATTGAAAGAGGATGGAAAATCGATTGGAATATCGTGAGGACGCTGGACGCTCACCACACGCTGGCTCGTCCATCTTTATTTTTCGGTACAGAATATCAGAAATTATATCACTTATTAATGCAAGTTGCAGCGAAGGGCTAAATTTCTATACATCGTGCCTTCTCGCGACGAAGTACATGAAATACACGACAATATCACATTTTAAAAGACAATATCAGGTCTCACTCATTTGATGAATATCAATATTGCTGGGTAGATATATTCGAGGAGAATAGATGGACACTATACTCTATATTCGACCACGAGACACGAATCAATGATTAATGAATAGGTTAAAGTCTTCTACCAAGTCTCAATTATCGAGATAAAAATTTATTGTGTGAATGTATCGAAAGACTAGGGTTGGACCACGAAAAATATTCGTAGAGATGATGATAATCAGACAGATATGTATATTCGTTCGCTATTTTTAATTCCGATAGCTGTACTAAGGTAAGAAAAATAATAATCGACAATACGAATCATTGCCAAATTTGGGAAGATTAAAATATATTAATGACGAATAAGTGGATAGTGTAATGGATAATGTAATATTTAATGTACTTAGGGTGTTATTATTCACACCATTCACTCGTTTCCTTACTTTTGTGAGAGCAATTGATATATTTAGAATTAATAATATTTTAGACTAATGACAATAATGAACAACTTTCTCGACTTGATTATCGTAATAATGGAATTAATTATTTGAGATAAATCAAAAAGGTAAATAGGTTTTTACGGATATTTGGTATCTAAAGTAATGCTCAAAGGCTCTGATGCCATATTTTTTAAGGGATAACTGCTATCGAGGGAAGACTATTCGTTCATTATGTCCAGCTTTTTTGAAATGTTCAATCGATAGATTGTGTTGATATTGGTTGAGACGTTTCACCATTATTCAAATATATTTCTCTTCAAAATTAATTGATCACAGTCTAGGTCCATCCATTCTTGTACAATAAGTATTGAAACAAGATAGACGGAGCTCACGGGTTGAATGCATGCAACTCCTCTCTAGAGGTTGACAATTATCCATTATTTATCTCTTCTAATGTACAATAAATTCATAGATAAATAGTGAAATCTGCACTGTGCACTTTGGCGAATTGAACATCCCAACGGTTAATTGCAAATCGAGGTGTGTAATTTAGGCGTGTTTTTAAACAATATTGTACAAAATTAGATTAATTTTTTCACGCCGGTAGGAGCATATGGCATAAATTGTAGGAAATTCAATAGCTATTATACATAAAAATGCATTTTTTTATTTTTATTATTTCTGCAACAAAGTGTTGAAGTGATAAAATAAAAAATATCAAGTATTTGGACAATAAATAAGAATAGAGAGGATAAAATTAGAATAGAATGCTGAAAACCCAGAGAGTAATCGTGAGAAATTATTTTCGAATTAAGATTCATCCAATTTATAATTTTCTCAAGCTTCAAATAATTCCCATGAGCAATATAAAATTAAGGAAAAGCCGTATTTAATTCCTCAGCTTTACACCCATTCGCAGAACGCCGAAGACGATGTAAAACCTGTCAATATCGCATTCTAATACAGCCATATTTGTGCTAAAGTGTCTCCTAAGATCTATTCTTAGATAACGAGAGGTTTCGCAGGCTTCCAAAATATGGAATGAGTATAATTCGAGAGAGGGCAAGCCAGTGCAATTTTCAAAGGAAGTGTAAGTGTCCAGTACTCATCGTAAACACAAGCTAGAGTACCTGACATGTACATTTTAATAAAATTTCATGTGATGGAGCCGGAATAAAGGGAAAAAATGAATTTTCTAAACAATAAGACGACAATACTCGTAGCTCTGGCTTTAATAGTTTGAATATTTTTGTAATTGAGCATAGCTTAATGATGATGTACGTTGGTCAGTGTAAATGTTGAGTTTGATAACTGAAACAGGGACTACGTAGGAAAATATCAAGTCTTCGAGGTTTACGTAGTTAACGAATTTCATTCATCAAACGAAACTGAACGAAGGTATAATATAAAAATAATTCTTCTTTACACGCTTATACAGAAACTTTAGTTTAAATCAAACTGAAACACCAAATGGATATCTAAAGATAAATTTGAGATCTTTTTTCAAAACCTACTGGTAGAATAAAAGTAGTACCGCCGGTCTAGGTATGAAGACATACGTGATATTTATCTATAGAAGTGAAGTAACGATAACTATGGATTAAGAACAGAAACAATAAATCGTGAATGCCTGACGATATTAATGTTAACGCAATAGAGACTTGTCTTTGTATCAAATAAATGTAAATATTTCAATCTCTGATAGCCATTCGTCAATAATGTGTCCAGAAAATTGTCGCTGCTCTTCCTGATAATTCACATGGCTGAGATAACTCGCTTATTCGGAATGTACGAGTGCATATTAATTTTAAGATTATTATAGAATAACTAGACAGTATTAACAAAATGTATACACCTCTGCCATCAATTTGGAGGACATTTTTTTGATTGATTTCCAGTTGAAAATGTTGCGTGTTTGTAGTCCGTGGAAATATAATATACTCGTATGGAGAAATCTAAGGAATATTCCAACTTGATTGTCTTTGAATTTTTTTATTGTCTTTCCCGCTAGTTCATTATTTTTTTTCCACTCACCAAATTGTGGAATTGACATGTAAGTCTCACAGTCGACGAGAAAGTGTCCACTCTGAACTGCTCCAAGAGCTAAAATCCTCTTCGTCAAGAGTTCGATGGTCTGGGGCCCCGTGCGATTTTCCATCGTGGGAAACTGTTGTAATCTGCAAAATCAACATAAATAATTGAATAAACAACAGGTTAGCACCATGTGAGATAACCACAAAGATATAACCACAACAAAAATTATTTAAACCCATCAAAACCCAAAAATCAATTAATT